CCGGGCGCAGCCCGAGCTGGACATGGCCCGAGCCGGGCACACCTGAGCCGGGCACACCTGAGCCGGGCACAGCCCGAGCTGGACATGGCCCGAGCCGGGCACAGCCCGAGCCGGGCACACCCGAGCCGGGCACGGCCCGAGCTGGACATGGCCCGAGCCGGGCACGGCCCGAGCCGGGCACAGCCCGAGCCGGGCACACCCGAGCCGGGCACACCTGAGCCGGGCACAGCCCGAGCTGGACATGGCCCGAGCCGGGCACACCTGAGCCGGGCACACCTGAGCCGGGCACAGCCCGAGCTGGACATGGCCCGAGCCGGGCACAGCCCGAGCCGGGCACACCCGAGCCGGGCACGGCCCGAGCTGGACATGGCCCGAGCCGGGCACGGCCCGAGCCGGGCACAGCCCGAGCCGGGCACACCCGAGCCGGGCACACCTGAGCCGGGCACAGCCCGAGCTGGACATGGCCCGAGCCGGGCACAGCCCGAGCCGGGCACACCCGAGCCGGGCACGGCCCGAGCTGGACATGGCCCGAGCCGGGCACGGCCCGAGCCGGGCACAGCCCGAGCCGGGCACACCCGAGCCGGGCACACCTGAGCCGGGCACAGCCCGAGCTGGACATGGCCCGAGCCGGGCACACCTGAGCCGGGCACAGCCCAAGCCGGGCACACCTGAGCCGGGGATGAGTTCTGGGACTGCGTCCTCCCTTCCTTGGTGCCTTCTTGGCTTCGGCTGAGCCCGGCGGGGTTGGGGACAGAGGGACTCGGTGGTGGCGGTGCGGGAGGGGCTCTTGTCACACTCTGTGCCCGCCCTGGGTCTGGGGACAGGGACAAGAGAGAGTCACGAACTCATCCTAGCCGTGGGGTGAGGCTGAAGCTGCGTTTGTCTCCACCCCTGAGGGGGTGGCTGAGCCCCGGCGTTGTCCCCTCACCCCGGGGGACAGGGCCACCTCCTTGATGAGCGTGGCAGAGCCCCGTGGGGATGGGGATTCCCTGCCTGGGGAGGTTTTGGGGAGCCGGGACCCCCCCGTGCCCCCACAGAAGCAGCTTGGGGTGTCCCAGGCGGGGTGGTGGCACTGTGGGGCAGGGTGAGCGGGCCACAGCAGCTGGAAGCAAAGCATTTTGGGGCGCCATGGAGCATCTCCAGCAGCCAGCAGCCAGCACTGACCCCTCCCCACCCACCCGGGGGCAGCTCCAGGCTCCCCGCTCTGTCCCTGCTGTCACCCCAGTGCTGGCCGTGCATTCCCAGCTGGCCCGGGGATCACGGCCGCTTGGGTGGCCTCCCTCCGTCCCTCCCTCCCTGCTGGCCTGTCCCCCTCCCAGCACCCCCTCACCCCTGCTGGGCAGCAGCACCACGGGCGGGCTCGCCCTGAGCCCAGCTCTGCCCCTGCTCTGTGTCTTGGCCCCTTTTCCACCCCCAAACCGTGCAATAAACCCAATTCTGCTCATCCTCGTGCATCCCTCAGCCCCGCCGGACAATCCAAAAGATTTCCCAGCTCCTCACATCAGGGTTTGGGGGGAAAAATGCGGAATGAGCAAAACGGGCACCTGTTGGCAAACAGGGTGAAACCCCCCTCGACTGCTCCATTCCCAGTGGAAAAACCTCCCCATGGAGGTTTTTGGAGGGTTTTTGGGGTCTTTTTGAGGTCCTCGAGCTCGGGGTGTCCCCAAGTGTCCCATCTGGCGTGCGGGGTTGTCCCACCCCATGGAATCAGGGAGGGGCAGGGGTTCCCTCTGGATTCCCCCTGCACTGGACACCGGACAAACCTGAGGGGCCGGGAAGCATCTCCATGAGGCCACCAGGTCCCCTCCCCTGGAGGCCACCCGCAGCACAGCCCCGCCTGTTCGGTGTCACCGCCTTGGCAACGCCTCTGTCCCACGTGGCCCTCGCTGGGGTGGCCTCAACAGGACTTTCTGTGTCACTTCTGTCCCCGTGCAGGATTTGGGGGTGTCCCCCCGCAGCCCAGCCCCTCACTGGGGGCGAGGTGGGGCTGGAGGATCCCAAATCCCTCTCCCCATCCCTGGGGGTTCTCGGTGTCACTCCCGAGCCGGTTCGGGCCGTGCCCGTGCCCCCCGGCACGGCGGGGACAGGGACAGGGACAGGGACAGGGTGGGCACGGCCGCCCTTGGGCACTGCGCCCGCTCTAACGCTGCCCTTCTTGTCCCCCCTGTGCCTCCCCCGTGTCCCCTGTGCCCCCCCGGCTGTGTGTGCCTGTGTCCGCGTGCCCGTCCGTCCGTCCGTCCGTCCGTCCTTTCCCCTCGGGGCCGTCCCCTGCCCGTGCAGTGACACGTGGGACCCGCTCTTGTCGTGCTCTTTGTGGTGGCCCTTTTCCAGTTGCTTGACCTCAGGCCTGACTCAGTGCTGCTTCTGAACCAATTCCCTTGGCTTCTCGGTTGTTTTTGGGTTTTTCCTGTCCTTGTTTTTGTTGGTTTTTCCCCTCTTTTTTATTCCTTTCTTTCGTCTTTTTTTTTTTTAAAGCTTTATTTTTCTTCGGGCTTTCCACCCCTTTCTCCTCGTCCTCGTCCTCCTTGAATCTTGCTTTTCTTTCCAGGCCACTAGACCATCTAAAGAGGCCAGTGAGACCTCCCCCACGGTCTCAGAAAAACCCGCAGCTGGCAGAACATCCATCCCCGTATTGACTTCCTTTGGGGCCAGGAACTCCTCCATCTCATTCTGAGCGCCCCTGCCAGCTCCGCCCGGCCGCTCTCCTGCTCCGGGGGGCTCCTCCTCTCTTCCTCGGGCTCCTCTTCCTCCCTGGGACTTGGCTTCTCCCTGAGGCGCTCTGGAGGGAATCGCCACCTGTGTCCCCTCCTCTTTCTGTTTGATCCATGTTCTTGTCGCCTCCGCTCCGCCAAACGAACTTTTGTTGTCTCGCCTGTGCCGCGCCTCGGCCCGACCTCTGTGTCCCCTCCCGCTCCGCCATGGCCAACCAGCCACTTTCTGTTTCTCTCTCTCTCTTTTTTTGGTTTTTCCTCCTTTTCTCCTTTTTCCCCCTCCCCTTTGGATCGCTGTTGGTTTGGTCCCCCCCTCTCTTTTGCCCCCTTTCCCCTCCCCTCCTTTTTTGGGTTTTTTTTTGGTTTTTTTCTGTTTATTTAAGAGCTCTCAGAGCTTGCCCCCACCAGCGTCCAGCCAGGAGCAGCTTCCAGCTCCCACCGGGCGGAAAACCGGGAAGCAGCGGCGGCCGAGGACACCCCCGGAGCGGCCCCCGGAGCGGCCCCCGGAGCGACCCCCGGAGCGAGCGCCGGAGCGGCCCCCGAGCGCCCCGGGAGCGGCGGCCGCGTCCCCGCAGGAGGAGAGCGCAGCTCCGGCCAGGGCTCGCCGGTGGGTGGCCGGCGGGGCCGAGGGCTCGGGGACACCGCGGGGCTCGGGGACATCGCGCGCTGCTGTCGCCGCCGCCGCCGCCGCGTCCCCTCGAGGGGGGCCGGGGGGTCCCCGGGAGTGCCGGAGGGGCCGCAGGGCGCGGGTGTGAATTGGAGGGGGGTCCGGGATCCAGCGGGGCGCGGTGATGCCGGGGTGGGGCGCACCCGGCCGCGGCTCGTCCCCTCCCGGTGGGGACGGGCGGGCGGGACGGGGGCCCGGAGCCCCGGGGGAGCAGCCCCGGCGCGGCCCGGCCTGGGGGGGAGCGGGCGGGGGGCCCGTGGGCACCTCCCTGCAGCGGGGCTGGGCCAGGTGTGCCCAGGTGGGCCTCAGGTGTGCCACAGGTGGGCCCAGGTAGGCCCCAGGTACACCGCCGGTGTGCCCAGGTGGGCTCCAGGTGTGCCGAGGTACACCCCATGTGTGCCCAGGTGTACTCCAGGTGGGCCCAGGTGCTCCACAGGTTGTGCCAGGTGCACTGGGTGGTGCCGAGGTACTCCCAGGTGCTCCCAGGTGTGCCCCAGGTGTACCCAGCTGGGCCAGGTGTACCCATATGTACCCCAGGTGTACCCAGGTGCACCCAGGTGAGCCCAGGTGCGTGTGTGCGTGTGCTCTGTGTGTGCAGCACAAGATCCAATCACTCCTTCCGTTCTCTGCTTCGTCCTTGGGTTGATTATTTTCGGGTTTTTTTAAATTTCAATTCCTTTTTTCTTCCTTTTCCCTCTCCTCTGGTTTTTTGTTTTGTTTTGTTTTTTTAATTTTTTTTTGTATCTCGATCATTTTTGTACAGAAGAAATGAGAGTCTTTTTTTGAATAACAAAGAGAAAACACACACAAAAAAGAACAAAAAACCAAAAAAAAAAAGACCAAAAAAAAGAAAGGAAAAAAAATGAAAAAAAATCATGATGCAATTTCTTTGGATTGCAAAAAAAGCAACTCTTTACATTTAAGTGAAGTGTCTTAACATTTTATATTGTTTTAAAAAATATATTTACATATTATATATATATAATATACGTAATATAAATCTATATATAAATATTTAAAGAGGGGAAAAAAACTAAAAAAAAAAAAACCTTAAAAAAAAGGAAAAATAAGAGAAATAAATAAATCACGTCCGGTATTATTTAGGGGGTGGATTTAAAATCCCTGCTTAGGTTTAGAGCTCCTCGTGGTTCCCAGAGCGGCTTCATCGCCCTCGTGCTGAGTCCCCGCCCTCTCTCCTTGTCCCCAGGTGTCCCCAGGTGTCCCCTGGTGGCCCTGGGGACCCCCGCCCACCCCCAGTGCCAGCAGCAATAGCAGTCACTGACGCGTTTGGAATTAATTTTATTTTTAATTAATTTCTGTTCTCGGTACCAAAGTGAATTCTCTGTAGCAAAGCTGCAGCTCCCGGGGCCGGGCGAGTGGTGGCACCTGGCGCTGTCCCCTCCCCTGCCCCGCGGTGTCACCTCCTGTCACCTTGTGTCACCCCAGGGAGGACGCGGTGACAAATCCCGAGCTCTGCTGGCTGGAGGTGACAATGCCACCCCCTTGGGGACACCAAAATGGGGGGGTGACAATGCCACCCCTGTGGGGACACCAAAATTGGGGGGGGTGACAATGCCACCCCTGTGGGGACATCCACATAGGAGGTGACAATGCCACCCCTGTGGGGACACCAAAATTGGGGGGGGTGACAATGCCACCCCTGTGGGGACACCCAGATGGAGGTGATAATGCCATCCCCCATGGGTGACAATGCCACCCACTTGGGGACACCAACATAGGACGTGACAATGCCACTCCCTTGGGGACACCAAAATGGAGAGGTGGCAGTGCCACCCCCTTGGGGACGCCCAGATGGGAGGTGACAATGCCATCCTCTATGGGTGACAATGCCACTCCTGTGAGGACACCAAAATGGAGGGCTGACAATGACACACATATGGAGAGGTGGCAGTGCCACCCCCTTGGGGACACCCATATGGCAGGTGACAATGCCATCCTCCTTTATGACACCCTCAAAAATGTCATGGGGGTGACAATTGCCGCCCTTGTGGTGACGCACACAGAAATGACATGAGGCGGGGACAAGTGTCGCCCCCTTGTGGACACTCAAAAATGTCATGGGAGGGTGACAAGCGTCACCTCCATTGGGACATCTACATGAGGAGGTGACAATTGCCTCCCTCCATGGGCACACCCCCAAAAATGACACTGGAGGGGGCTGTCCTCAGTGTCCCCACCTTGGTGTCCCCAAGCTGTCACCGATTTTGGGGGGCATTGTCCCTTTTCCCACCCGCACTTTGTCCCCAAGCCATGCCTCCCAGCTCGGTGTCACTGGCTCAGAGCAGGGAGGTGACAGTGACAAAGCAGGGGGTGACAGCGCCAGGTGAGGGGGTGGCAGGTCCCAAGCTGTCCCCAAACCCCCCCCAGTGTCCCCTTTTCCCGGCTGGTGTCCCCGTGAGCGTGATGTCCCCGCGTGCGTGTGCGTCCGTCCCCTTCATGGCATCGTGCAAATCCCTCGCTGAAGCAAGAAGACAACAATAACAAAAAAAAAAATATCAAAATTAACAACAAAACAACTCAATTCTGGTTCAGACCAGGAAAAGCATATTTAAAAAATGATTTAAAAAAAAGAGGAAAATGTGTAAAAATGACAAAAAAAACCCAAACCCAAGCGCTGCCTGCATCGTGCATGTGTCGGAGGCGCCCGCTGCATGCGCTCCCCGCTTTACTCGTCTGGATGTTGTTTCAAAACAAACAAAAAAAAAAGGCTCTGAAAAGGACAAAAAAATAAAAGGACAAACTGAGAAGAAAAAGCAAAAAAACGCCAAAAAAAAAAGGAAAAACAAGGAATTTCTGGTTCTCCTTAGAGGCTGTTTTGGGGTTTCTACGCCGTCGTGTGTCTCTCTCTCTCTCTCTCTCTCTTCCGCATGAATTTTCTCGTGAACTGTTTTAAAAAGGAAATAAAAGGAACAAAAAGTACAAAAAATAGTAGAAAATGGAGGAAAAAAAATGAAAAAAAAGAAGAAAAATGTAAAAAAAAAAAGCCTCGCACAGGGGAAAAGCGGGGGAGGGGAGGGAGGGGACCCCCCCACCCTGTGCCACCCCCCCTCTGTGTCCCCCGTGTCACCGTGGATGCCATGGGTAGTTGTGTGTGACCGTTGTAATTCCCGTGACAAAAGGGTTGCTTTTTTTTATTTTCCTTTTTCCCTTTATAATTTTTCTTTTCTATCAGAGTGTCTGGCTTTAATAAAATTACCTTTTTTTTTTTTTGTCTCTTTTTCTGTCTTTTTCTGGCGATTGTCCCCCTCATTTTTACCCCCTCTCCCCAAATTTTGAGAAATTGAGAAATTTGATAAATTGAAAACTGAGAATTTTGATGGGGATGGGGCATCCCCAGTTCTGTTATTTCCTTCCCACAGGCTGAGATGTAAATGAGATTTATCCTCTCATGGATAAACTCAGGAATAAAAATTCCCAGCACCGGAATCTGACGTCCCTGCTGGCCAAAGAAAAGGGAATTACCACCAACAAAACCTTGAATAACCAGTTTATTTCCAATATATAGACTGGAGGTCGGGGGGGCAAAGCAGGGGGGGGTTTTTGGGTTGGTTTGGGGATTTTTTTGCAGTTTTGCAGATCCCGACGGGGCCGGGAACAGGGGTGGGAAGGGGTTTGGGTGGGACATGCAGGAGGGTTTTAAAAAGTCACCACTGGTCCAGCACGTCCCCTGCTTGGGGCTGGCCTTTCCGCTGAGCAAAACTTCTTAAAAAATCCTTATAAATCCTTTGGGATATGTTACACGGGCAGGGCTGGTATTTACAGGGGGAAATGAACAACAAAACCCCAAAAAAATCAAAAAGAAAAGAAAACCCAACGACTTTACAGCAAATATTTGCATAACGTACGAGAACAACATGGAGAGCCGGTGACAGGGTGTGACACCAGGCCACCGAGGTGGTGGCACTTGTGTCCCCGCGTGGCCAGGCCGGGGGTCCCCAAACTCCCTTCCTAAAGTGCTTCTGGCCTGGGGGGCAGGAAGGGGACAGCGATGGGAGGGGACAGGGACATCCCAGGACGTGGGGGGTAAAGGGTGGCAGTGTCCCCCCTGCTGCCTGGTGTCCCCTCAGTGCCACCCCCTCCCTGGCTCCCCCCACTCAGCAGAGCCCCCCAAGTGAGGGTGACAGGGCCCCTAAGGGACCCCAGCACAGGGGGGGTCTCTGGGACGGGACCCGCAAGGGCATGGAGAGTCCCCAGGGTCCCCAGGGCAGGGGTCTCTGACCCTGATGTCCCCAAGGTCCCCATGGGTCTGTGACACCGAGATCCCCAGGGTCCCCAGCAGGTTTCTGACAAGGTCCGCAGGGTCCCTCAACACAGGAGTCTGTGGCACTGAGGTCTCCAGATGTCTCCAGATGTCCCCAGTGTCCCCATCCCAGGCAGGTCCCGGCCGGAGCAGCCGCAGCAGCGCCCAGGGAAGTGCCCGCACTTCGCTCTGCCACAGGTGGGGACAGCAGTGCCACCTCTGGGGACAGTTCCCGTGAGCCCCACGCCCCTCCTGGCACTGCCTGGGGGCTGGGGCACCATGCGGTGGCACCGCTGCTGGTCCCCAAAACAGGGGGATGAGGTGGCTTCGTCCCCCCCATGGTGCGGGGCCACCGGGACCTGTTAAATAACACCAGCGGCTCGTCCGGAGCACAATTAAATACGGGGACAAGGGACAGTCCTTAAATTAAACACTCCTGGGGGATCACAGACACTGCGGGAAGCGCAGGGGCGCCGGGGGACCGGGGCTGCCCGGGGGGCTCCTGGTGGCCGTGCCCAGGCCAGCAGTGCCAGGCGGGGCCGGGGCCGGAGCCGCGGGCCGGGCTTTGGTGGACTCCAGGCTGCTGAGCCCCGAGTCCTTGTCGCGACAGGGTCCCGGCGTCCCCTCGAGTCCCCGCGGCTCCTTCCACTCGTTGAAGTTGAGGTCCTTGAGGCCGCCGGGCACCACCACCGTGTGCCGGCGCCAGCTGCTCTTCTTGCGGCGGGTCTCGGGGGAGTGCGCCCGGCGCAGCCGCACGCCCATGTCATCGGCGGAGCCCCGCACGTGCTGCCGGAGCTGCGACGCCCGCCCGGGGGCCGCCCAGCCCGGCTCGTCACCACCAGCCGCCGCCGCGGCGTCCCGCGGCCTGCCCAGCCTCCTGCGGGCCAGCGTGTCGCACTGGATCAGGCGGTGCGAGTTGAAGGACGGGCGGCCCGGGGGCGACTTGCCCTCGTCGCCCGTCCCCGGCCCGGCCTGGCCCGGCCGCGGCCACGCTCCCTCGCGGCTCTCCGTGTCCGTCTCCATGTGGCTGAGCTCGCTGCGCTCGTCATCCGCCTCCTCCCCGCGGCTGCCGGCCACCGAGTGCATCTCGGAGCACAGGCTGCGGTCCATGGTGGACAGCGTGGAGTAGCCGGACACGATGGAACGGGCGTCCGGCGCGGGCTCGGAGCCGCTGCCCACGGGCTCGGCAGAGCATTCCCGCTGCGCCCCGGCCGGCTCGGTGCTGGTGCCGCAGGGCGCTTTGCCCGGTGTCACCGCGGGGCCCTCCTGCTCCTGCTGCCGGCCCGGGCCGTCCCTGCGCTCCGCGTCGTCGTCGGTGCTGCTCCCAACGCCTTCGGCCTCTCTCCTCTTCTTCCTCTTGCGGGCGGCGGCCGAGACGAAGGGGATGGCGAGGAGCTCCCGGTGCGGCGGCGCTTTGCGCGACGGCCACGTGCCCTGGGAGTGCGGGGACAGCGGGGTCAGGGGTGGCGGTGACACGGACGGGGACGGGCTGAGTGTCCCCATCCCCGCGTGCCCACCCTGCCAGCCCCAGCCCAGGATCCCGCTCACCTTCGGTTTGGCGGAGCCGCTGCGGGTGGAGCCTGGAAAGCAGAGGGGAGAGGGGGGTTAGAGGGGTCCCGGCGGGGGGAATGTGCTGGGGAGGGGTCTGGGGTCTCTTTGGGGACGCTGCTCCATGCCCCCAAACCAGGGCAGGGACATGCTGGGGCTGTCACACCGGCTGGACGTGCCACAAGGGGCTCCGGTGGTCACGGGGGGTCCCTGGCATTGCTCGCCTCACCCAGGGTGAGGAGTGGGGACAAGGGGGACACACGCAGGCACACACAGCCGGGACACACAGCCGGGACCCCCATGGTGGCACCCCAACCCTCCCACGGCCATGGGGCACAGAGGGGACAGGGACAGGGTGCTGCCACCGCCGCGTCACCGCGACAGAGGGCAGGGAGGTGGCTCCGTGCCACAGCCAGCCTCAGAGAGGGGCTGGCACAGGCCGGGGGTTATGGGGTAAGGAGGGGACACAGAGGGGACACAGAGAGGACGGGCAGCCCTGGCCCTGCTGCCGCCGTGTGAAGGACAAGGACAGGACACAGACCCCTCTCCCGCCCCGCATGCCTGGGACAGGGTTAGCAGTGCTGACAACGAGAGAGGGGGAGGCAGAAAAGGGGTGCTGACCCTCCCAGGGCTTTGGGACCCCCACACCCCACAATCTGAGGGCCCTGGGACACCCCACACCCATCCCTGCAGCGGGGTGCCACCACAGGCACTGGCCAGGGAGAAGCAGAGTGAGAAGGATTTGGGGCTCTGCCGGTGTTGGGGACCCTGGGGACAGTGCCAGGCAGGACAGCGTCCCCTCCCCTCCCGGTGTCCCCCTGCTCCCCCTCTCTCGTGTCCCCCCAAGGGTTAGTGCGTGAGCAATGCACCCGGGATCAGACTGTACCCGCTCTAGCTCTCGAGGAGATCCGCTGGAGGAGGAAGAGGAGGAGGAGGAGGAAGAGGACAGCACAGAGAAGTTCAAGGAAAGAATGTAAGAAATCAGTCCAATGTCAAAGGCTCCCATCTCCAGGTGTGGCAGCGCGGGCAGGGGCGGGGGTCCCGTGGGGTGGGCGCTGCCCTGAGGGACAAGGAGTGGCCACCGGAGAGAAGGGGGATGGGACAGGGCGGGCAGGGGCTCCTCGGGCATCCCAGGGCTGTTCCCAATTTTGGAGAGGAGGGATATGGGTTGTCCCATCCAGCACACACAGATTGGCCATGGCCGTGCCCACAGATGTGGGCAGGGGGGCACAGAGAGTCGGGAGGGGCACTCTGGGGTGCCAGGAGTGCAGGGGACAATGTCAGAGGTGCCACCCCTCACCTGCGGCATCGCCGGGCGCCGCCGTCCTGCCGATGTTGGGCAGCAGGTACTCGATGTTGGGCACAGACTGAGCCTCCTTCTCATCCACGGGGGTCTGTGGGGGCAAAACAGGGATCAGGGCACTGCCCAGAGCCCCCCAGCTCCCACCTGGGGGTCTGCACCCCCCTGAGCCACCTGAGAGCCCCCGAGCAGGGACAGGACTCACCTTCTCACCCTTGTCCTCCTTGTCACTGAAGAACCAGTCTGACTGTGGGGAGACAGGGGAGGGGTCAGGAGCTCCGTTCCCATTTTTGGGGTGCAGATCCCGCCCCCTGCCCACCCAGAGTGCCACTCACGTGCTGGATGAGGGTCTCCACGATCTTGTAGCGGTCGGGCATGTGTGTCACCATGTCGGTCATGTTGTCCTCAGATGTTCTCACCAGCGTGGGGCCGAACACCAGCGCCAGGTTCCGGGGCTCCATCTGCGCCCAGAGCCAGCTCAGAGCTGCAGCCCAGCCCGGGCCGGGGGGCTCCAGGTGGGGCAGGAGATTCCCAGGGAGGGGGGGTCCGTACCTTGTTCTTCTCCGAGTGGTCAGCGATGGTCTTCAGGTGACCCACCAGGAATTTGAGGGTCTCGTAGTAGTGGCCTGGTAGGTCACGGATCTGTGGGGATGCATTGGGTCACCCCTCTGCCCGCTGTCCCCACCCAAGGGGAGCTCCAGGGCAGTGTCCCCACCCCAGCCCCTGTCCCATGTCCCTACCAGCTTCCGCAGCGTCCTCATCCTCTCGCTGGCATCTTCGATCCGGTTGGCTTCGATAAAGTCATTGTATTTATCTGAAAGTGGCACATGAGGGTGTCATAGCAGGGTGGAGGGGACAGGCCACCACCCCCACAGTCAGGGACCCCCAGATGAACCCTCTGGAGATACTGGGGAAGGGTCTCAGTGCTGGTCCCACTGCAGGGCAAGGAGGGACAAGGACAAGTGGCTTTGGTGACAGGGGGTCTGCATTGTCCCCTGCCATGGGTGGCTGTGTCACTGGGTCTGGGGACCTGTCCCCAACACAGGGGATGGGGTTTGGGGCTCTGGTGGTCCCGGGGGACAGGGACTCACCGTCGGTGAAGAGGGGCTCAGGCAGCTTT